TTTTTAAAATTTGGATTATGAACGTAAATTGCATGAGTCTTCTTCATCTTTAAGTTCCATCTACTATCGATAGTTGGAATTCATCATGGCTATGCGGACCCTGTTGACTGTCGCTCTAAATGGTTCTGAACTACTGCATTCTGAACTACTACCATTTGTTCTGAACTACTACCATTCACTTAAGTTCTTAAGTCACGATATTCTTCGTCTCTTAGCTTAAGCCACTTCTTAGCATGAACATTTTTTCTGAAAAAATTAATTACTCAGTTTCTTGCATTAGTCACTGACATAATCACGAACAATGCAAGATTGAATCTGTGACTGGCACAATGAACGTAAATTACAAAAGGATACTCCTCGTGTATTTTGGTTTTGGTACCTTTATACTTGCCAATCATATTATATGCACCGTCATATCCTGATGATGATCATATTAGATGCACCGTCACCCATTGGCCAACACAATCATTCATATCCAATCCGTTTCGTAATACATACTACAGTAAATTTTGCAATGTGTTCGCCAGTTAACTCATACATAGGAATAAATCCTACAAAATCTTCTACTTTTGATTTATTACCAGCAAAATCAATATATTTAATACACAATAATAATTGTTCAAGTGTGGATATGTCCACTGTCTAGTCGACCAAGGTTAAAAAGAATTCTACTTCTTTTACCAATCATTTACAACTTAAAATTTGTTCTTTTAAATTATCATCACCAGTGTTTGCTCTACATCTTAATAAAGCTCTTAACTTTCCATCTTTTTTTTTTCAGGTTTTTGAAGAGTTACCATTCCACCGTCATCATCGCCTCTTAAAAGAAGTCCATTTTCATCGCAAATTATAATTGCTTCTATTACCTATAGGTTTTAAAGCTTTTCTATCCTTTTCCTAGTAGACTATTTAATTGAGTAGATACCTATATCTTCTACTGTCTTTGTCATAACTTGAATGACATAATGTCATAAAGCTGCTTCGACGATATTGAAGATTACTGTTATTACTAATTTTTAGACCGCGCATTTTCATCGTTTAAAAGAGCTCGAACTAATGCTCCACAATTTCCGTGATTACCTTTTTCTGCTCCAAAAGCTTCATTACAAAATATGAAGCATACTTTGCAGTAGGCTCCATCTTCCTTTTTAGAGTATGTCAACCAAGACCATCATCTATATAGCCCATCTTCGTTGGATGTCAAATATTTTTTTTAGTGAATTCACTTGAAGGAAACTTAAATTGTTATTCCTTCTATCTTTGAGGCTTTGAAGCATCAAAGTGCAGATGTATGAAATGATTGATGCGTATTTCGCTTGGGGTTTTTAAAAAAAAACCCTTTAACTAAACTTTATTGTGCGCCATGTACTAAGTTCTCTGAAGACAGTCTTGTTGTTTGACTTAGACATTTTTTACTAATTTAGTTTAAAAGATTCCAATTTCTCGCTAGGTTTGTAAATTTTTAAATTTTATTTCTATATTTCTAGTACATGCATTTAAAAGATTTAAAAAAGAGTTATAAAAGCTATAAGTGCTCAATGCTCATATAAAACACAATCTAAACAGTTATCCAAACGCTGTCGAAAACCAGTATCTGGATACTTTTTAAAATAGTTTAGGAGGCATTACTTCCTATAACATAAAAGATTTTGTGAATAAAACAAATATTATTCGTCCAATTTAAAATTTTTTACGTATATATTGAATTATAAAATCATCAATATTTGATAATATTTCAAGGAGTGTCCGGACCCCCTGGACACCCCCTGACTACGTTACTACCACTCGACTTATGTGAGCAACAGATTAACAGGTCAGATGTGACAGGATAGAAATTGCCCACTTAGTCCTAAGTACCTCACAAAAATCATTGGGGAAATTTGGATCAATTTGAAAATCCATACTTATATCGAAAGGTTTCAAAAAAGCTGGTAAACATCCATTTTCTAGGGAGGTTATAACTTATTCAGAATTCGACATTGCCTTTCTAAACCAAGAATAAGATAAAAATGAAAACAAAACAAAACTAAATAAAGCAAAACAAATGGTGGAAGAAATCAAGAAAGAAAAATGTATTTTGTATGTGCTGAAGAAAGTTCTACATTTATGTAAGTAACATTGCAATCACTACAATGTTCTACAAGTAGTCTACAGTTGGCTGAAAATTAGTTTTGGAGCAGATTCTCACTAGCTGCACTTTTTGGAATTTATTATGAAAAGGGAAGTTTCAGAGAATATTTGAAGACTTGAAATAAATAATGTGGTAAGTATTTTATACCTTTAAAATCTTCCTTAAAATGTTCCAAGTACCATAACCAACAACCTATATAATGCACTACTATAAGTCGCCGGGTTATTACTACGTACTTAAAAAATTCTCAACAGAGTGCGTGTTTGTCAATCGCCACAACGTCTCCGGTAAACAATGTGGTAAGTGCCAATAAATATGACAGTTTCAGTACTGTTTTGATATTGAATTAGTAAAGTTGTTATTGTTTATCTCGTTCTGTGTAATCTTAAAATCATATAAGAATGAATGCTGGTGCTACTTCTAGAAAGTGCAATAAGCAAAAGGAAAGGCAGAAAAAAAGAAATGCTGGAGAAGAGTACCTACTATTAAAAAAAAAACAGTTCCTGCCAAGCAGCCTCCTGAAAATAAGGTTATGCGAATATTGTTTTTATTTTTGGACAGTAGTTATTCTGAAATTTTGTTTTAGATATTGTGCAAATGCAACTTACGGTGTAAAGAAATACAGTATGAACAAAAATTGAGGCTTTTTCACGAATTTTATGGATTGAATGATAATGTACGGTAAAATACGTATCCTATGAATTTTATCCATGTGTGTGCTATCAAGAGGAGATAGCATGGAAATTATGAGAGACCAGAAGAGAGTAAGAGACAGGTTACGCTTTCCTTCACATTGCTCAACGAAGAAGGCACCATTTTACAGGTGTGTAGGAAGACATTTTGCGCGGTGTTTGGCATAACTTTAAGATATATTGAAACATTAGCTAAGTTGAAAAAAAAAGGAGATACAGTTTATAAGGAAAGGAGAGGTAATAAACTGCAGTTTAGAAAGTTTCCAGAAAACGAACTAGAGGAAAGAGAAATCCCTCCAGGCCAGGAAATAGTAGTAGTAGTAGAAAGTTTATGCCGGAAGATAAAGCATTGGTTATCGAGCACATAAACAAAAAATATAAATAGACTTTACTTGGCGTTTAAGGAAGCTCATCCTGATTTAGCAGTGAGCTATCGTTTTTACTTTCAAATTTTCAATAAGAATTTTCCCAATGTAAGCATTCGTAAGCCTATAACAGATACCTGTGCTACCTGTGATTTACTGTACCTACATGCAAACAACAGATCCTACACAGAAAGATGCTCAATTTAAGTTAGAACATCACCACCGAAAAGCAGAAGCAGCTGTAGAAGCAATGAGAAAAGACCGTCAGAATGGTCAGCAACCCACGAGTGACCCATGACAGTTTCTATGGATCTACAGCAGGTCTTATCATTACCAACTCTAACTCATAGTCAAATGTATTATATGCGACAGCTTTCCAACTACAACCTTTATGTTCACCAAGGGAACAGTAACACTAGCTTCATATTTTTGTAGCATGAAGGTATAACAGGACGTGGAGGAAATTGCGTCGTGTGTGTTGAAATCATTCACTAATATACGAACACAGAAAGGAAAAGTAACAATTTGGAGCAACAACTGTGCCGGACAAAATAAAAATAAAATGTTATTGTTTTTATGGATTTATTTAGTTTCCAAGGGGTATTTCGATGAGATAAATCACAAATATCTAGTATCGAGTCATTCATTTTTGAGTTGCGACAAAGATTTCGCTCAAATTGAAAAGCGAAAAAAGCAAGAGAAGTGTGAGCTAGATACCTATGGATTTGGTAAGAATGATGACAACAGCACAATAATGAACCGTAAGCACTTCTTCGATTTTAAAGTTGCATCTAAAAGTTTAATCAGTAAAGATAGTTCAAACACTCCTGACCATGGAGCTGCGCGAAGGTGTAGTCAAATTCACGTAAAGGCAGAAAGGTTCTATTGTAAGTGCTATGGAAGTGGGGACTAAACCAAATTTGGTCTAGTGCGCCGTGGTCAGGAGTGCTTGCACTATCTCTACATCCAAGCTTCAAATTTCAAAAGCTCAATAGATCAACATTAACCGACAAAATCCGGGATTAGTTAAAATACGAGAAACTCTGAATGAATTGGAAACTTGGAAATCAACAAAGGTTTTAAAGAGAAATGTTACAATTAAAACTATTGCAGAAATGACTCTTCCTAACTTGACCTGCCAGAGTAGAATTACTGAAGAAAAAAAAAACAAAACTTGTTGGCAAAGGTTCGCTATTTGAAGAAAGAAAATAGAAAATTTTATGAATACCTATTTAACCGCGAAAACTCCTTAGAACCTAGAATCCAAAAACATAATTCACTTGAGTAAACCTATGTTTGATTTTGAGAAAGTTATGTCAATACATTCATTGTGGAAGAAAAAAATCGATTATTTCGAATTATAGATTTTGGATCTTACCACATTATTTATTTCAAGTCTTTATTTGTAATCATAAATAATAACATTTTGAGAATAAACAATGTGCTAAATTATAGCATCAGTTCTATACACTATACAATACTATTTTTAAGGTACCTACATATGCCCAAATAAACTGTTAACAAAAAAAATTATCATAATATTTTGTAGATATTTTTAAAATTATATAGTTAAATATTCTCAGTGTAATTTTTCTGTATCTATCCCCACAGACCGAAATTAGTGTATTCCCAAGCTCAAAAACTCTTGACTTGACAGTTCGGATCGATAACATCTCTGCGCAATGCCCACGTTTCCATAGGCAGGGAGGAGCTTCAATACCCGCCTCCGTATACGCCACACCTTACGCGAAGATCAACACTGCCGCACTAGTACATATCCGACGGTTAATGTAAACGCGACAAAAATCTACAATGCTGGTCCCGGCCGATATGCTGGCCGCCCAGTCGAAAATGCTTTATCAAATCAACAAATACTACGGTGAAAGAGTGCAAACAAGGATGGCAACCATCGCTAAGACCATCAGGGAGGTTTGTAAGGTAGTTCAGGAGGTTTTAAAAGAAGTCGAAGTGCAAGAGCCTAGATTTATTTCGTCTCTAACGGAATGCAACGGAAAATACGAAGGTTTGGAGGTTATTTCGCCGGTAGAGTTCGAGGTGGTATTGTACCTGAATCAAATGGGTGTGTTTAATTTCGTAGACGACGGTACTTTGCCAGGTTGTGCTGTGTTAAAACTTAGCGACGGTAGGAAGAGATCCATGTCGTTGTGGGTTGAATTTATCACAGCTTCTGGATATTTATCGGCGAGAAAAATACGATCCAGGTTCCAAACTCTAGTCGCTCAAGCCTGTGATAAATGTTCTTATAGAGACAGTGTCAAAATGATAGCCGATACCTCAGAGGTAAAATTACGAATAAGAGAACGGTATATTGTGCAAATAACACCGGCGTTTAAATGCTCCGGCGTGTGGCCTCGATCCGGTTCGCATTGGCCATCCCCGCACATTCCCTGGCCGCATCCTAACCTAGTAGCAGAAGTCAAAACCGAAGGATTCGATCTTTTAAGCAAAGAAAGTATAGCAGCTCAAGGTAAACAAACTTCCATGGAAGGCGACGCTTGGGTTCTTTCTTTTTTAGAAGCAGAAAACCGTCTTTTACAAGGAGGATGCCGAAGAAGGTGTCTCAGCATTCTCAAGACTCTAAGAGATAGACATTTAGACCTACCTGGTAATCCCGTCAGTAGTTATCACCTAAAAACTTTGTTACTTTATGAATGTGAAAAACATCCCAGAGAGTCTGAATGGGATGAATCTTGTATAGCCGACAGAATTAACGGTATATTTCTACAATTAATCTCTTGTTTGCAATGTAAGAGATGCCCTCATTACTTTTTGCCAAACTTAGATCTTTTTAAAGGAAAATCGCCCAGTGGTTTGGAAAACGCAGCTAAACAAGTGTGGAGGTTGACACGAGAAATGTTAACAAACACAAGATGCCTAGAAAAGTTGTAAAAGTTTTCTTTAATTCTTTCATCAAGTAGGTATTGGAAAAAATGTTTATCAGTTATTTTGCGCTCGATATAATACAAAATAATTGTTTGCCAAATGTGCATTTGTCATAATAAATGAATGTTTAGATAAATTGCAGACCGAGGAAGTAATTTTTTTGACAAAAAAAAAACGTGAAACGAACATCGTTATAACTACCATAATAAATATTATCTTTTATGAAAACTTTATAAATTGAAGCATGTTGTTGCTTTTTCATATGTCAAAAACTCGATAAGTTCGCAAAATCCTTTGTTTTATAAAGCTTTTGGTTGTTTTATTTTTTTATGTAGAAAACGCTATAACTTCTTTTTGTATTTTTCAAAATGTATTTAATGTATAATTTTGCTTTTATTACCAAATCAATCAATTATTTTGGTTTGTTTTTTTTTCTCCTGCTCACTTCACATTTGTTATCCTATCAAACAAACTATGTCCTTTTTTATCTTGTTTTGCTGGTACTTTTCTCTACAAATTCTTTGCAATATAATAATCTATTTTTTTATTAATTATTTTATTTTATATCTGATTATATGATACAGAGCTTGATTTTTCTTATTAGATTGTCATTATATTAAGACTACATTTTGTCACTAAAATTGCATGATATTTCCTGACCGTGAATATTTAAATAGAAACTTTTTTATTTCCTGGGTTTGTCGGTCATATGTAAATAAAACTATTTAATTTTTGCTGAAACGTTTCGGCAAATTTGCCATTTTCATCAGGCACTTTATTTTATTTTATAAACATTATATTTTACTATTACATTTCATCTTTACACTTTTTTTTAAAGTTTAACATGGAAAATCCATGTTTATTTCTGTACATACTAATGATTCATCCTCAGGTGTATTGTGTATCCTTTTTTTTATATAATTTCAAACAGTTTGTGTCTATCTAACGAATCGAAGGCTTTTTTAAAATGTCTAAATTTAATATACTATATTTATTCCAATATTTATTTTTGTTTTTTTTATTGGTTATAAGCGACAACACTAAGTTATTGTATTTTTCGATCAAATAACGTCGATTCAATTTGCAAGCCTTTTTTTCTTTGACTTTTCAAGTTCTTCCTGTCTATTGCTCCTCTTAATAAGCTTCTAAATTACATTATCTTGTAAACTCAATTTTGTTTTTATGCCAAAAGTTTATAATTTATTATAAGATCGATCTCCAGAATTGTCTGTAACTCATTGCTGATCTTTCCAGTCTCTTATAATTCCCCCTCCTATTTATTGTTAAACCGAAATATAAAAGACAGCAAACTTTTGCATATTAGAGAACAACCCTAATATGATCTCACAACATCCAGTAATTCTCTTATGACTGATAAAGAAGAAGTCTTTCTCAAGTTTAGTTTTTCTGGCATAGGCCATATGTACTTTATTGTGATCTAAAAAAAGCAACTTTTATTCCGTTTTTCACACAAGAAATTGTGTGAAAAAGCTTCTCATTTACTACATAACTATGTAGGTATATCACATGCCAACTCTTTGTTAAATATATATTCCTGCCAAATTTCTAAATTACATGATCATTTTGATTAATGGGTGTTTCTTACTTTGTCACTAATGAGTCACTATTTGATTTAGATACTAGTTTTAACATTTTATGGTATTACCTCAGTGTAATATTATTTCAATATAATAAAATAAGACAACAATTTGTAAGGACATACTCTTTCGTTTATCAATAATTTAACATTCCTTTTTTTCCTTTTCCAAGTTAAGACTTAACTGTGCGCAGAAAGGCAATATGCCATGTTTAATTTGGATCACATTAGTAGAACAACTATAGCATAGAATATTTCATAATATTCAGAAACTGTATATAATTTTCGTTTTGTCTTCGCACTTTAATTTATGACAAAAAAATTCGAACCAATTCTTTTTTAAATTCGTTTAAATATATATCATTTTTATAAAAAAAACTTACTAAGAATGCATAAAAGTGACATAAAAGGCTGATAAGCAAAATTTTTATTATCTATTGTACATGTAATGTATTGTAAAGAAACCGTCGATGGTTTATTAGAAAGATTTTAGGCAATTAAAGCATAACAAATATTCTCAAAAGTTCTGCAATATGGTCAAAATCAATAATTATTTATTGAAGAGATTATGCTATTCATATTCTATGAAGTTTCTATGTAAGAAAATTCATTTCGTTTCAATATTTATATACTGGCTTCAACAGCTTGTTATTTCTTTCACAGACACAAATGTCACACATTGTGTAATATGTAACTTTCTTTATCTCTCTTTTCCAATATTAATTTAAATATTAAGAGACCTTTTTGTGCTGTATGCGCTACTCGATATCTCATTGAAGAGTTTACCAGAGCTTCCACATTGGTCTATTTTCTCAACTATTCGATTTGTTTCTCATATAATAGACTTCTTCTAACATGTTTTTAAGAATAAGTGAATCATTTTTGATGAAGAAGAAGAAAAAATGAATCATTTTTGATATAACTAAATACAGCTTAGTGAATTTATTAAGAAGGTACTTAAAATTCTCATAAAGAGTGAAAACACGTCAATTAGTAGTAGAATAACTGATGATATACCTAATGACAAAATTGTAAATTATAAATCAAAAATTATATTGATAAAATGGTAGATTACAGACAAGATAATGGACAACTGTAGAAGACATAGACCAAATGACAGTAATTTAATCTTATGGGACTGTTTTTTTAATTTCTGCAGGAATCAATAAAATGAACATTAGCAATCTAATGCCAACCTCTTCTCATGTGGTTTTCAAAACATTTAAAACATGTTTTTGAAGCTATTACCAGTATTAGCCATCAAATTGTGTTAACGAAGAGAAAACGTACGTCGTAATCTTTTTCAGTTCCTGAGTTTAACAAAAAAAGTAGTTTAAGATGATCACAAAAGACTGCAAAATACTGTCGCTAAGACTACTGTAATTAGAGAGAGATAGAGTGATATTACAGAAAAGTTGGTAAATAAGACACTGAGCATATAAAAAGAAGAAATACTAAAACTCTTTGTATCTTCGTGATATACAAAATATCTGTACATAAGGCTGTTAATTTATGAACGTTCTGATCAATTAAAAGATCTATCATATAATTATATGTTGCCAAAATTTCTAGTCTATTAATTATACATACTTTTTTCTGGGAAAGTTTAAAAATTTCTTTTTTAAATTATTTTTTTATATTTTGAACAAAAAGACACAATTTATCCTTTATGATTGACCATATTAAAGAAATAAGTAAGGTTATCTGGGTTGGTTGATATATAAATTACTTTTCAGGCCCAACTAGACTTATGTAAGTAAAAAAAAATGTAAAGCGTTAATATTTAAGCCTAACATCTCTCTAATACATCAAGAAGACATCAAAACTGTTGATTATAAATGTATCTAGATACTCTTGGTTGTGAATATAAACTATGTATATTGAATATACTGATGTAGACTACATTACTCAACTGTATAATCCCCATTTTCCGTACTATGTTTAAGACAATTAAGTATTTTACCTATTTAAGTATTCCTTGATATGAATATAGCTTTAATAGTGGTTAGGAAACCTGTAACTAGGACTGAATTGCTAATAAATAAAATCTCGTACTCTAGTGCCATGATATTTATGTTTATTATTGGTATTAATATTTCTTGTATGCTAATAACTGTTATGTCTGTTGGGTTCCCATCTCTACTATGATTTATTCTAGCAGAGAGCACTCTGACGCATGACGCTATAAACAAAGCTATTATAATAGAGATGGGCAATCTGTATAAGATGTGAGGATGTGATGCTAGTTGTTTTTCGAATAGTTTTAGTAAATATGTATCTGAAAAGACTGTTTTGTAGGATCAAGTACTCGTTTTTTGTTGTTTTGTATTTAAATTTTAAAATTAATAAAAGAATTATGCTATAACAGAGTTTTTTTCCGCCTTTTTATTAATTATTTATAATAAATATATGAGAACCAGAGGCGAAAACTTAGTAGCAGTACCTTATTATGTAAGCTAAGGTAAGAACTTTAATAAATATATTAAAATTTGAAAAATATGTTGTCGGTAAGCTTATACACCTTCGTAACCAAATAGACCTCATACCATTCTATTTGTCTTTGTAACTATATAATGTCGACTTCCCTAATTACATTGCTTCATAAATTTCTATCTTGAGTCATATCAATATCAATCATACATCTTAACCTATTCTATCTTATTTTCTCCTCTTATACACATACTCATTCTTAATTTTATCCTTTTTTGTTACTCCACTCAACCATCTAAGCATTATCATTTCCGCCACATGCATTCTTTGTGTCTCTTTGTTTTTAACTGCCCAACATGCAGTTGCGTACATCATAGCTGGTCTTATGGTAGTTTTAAGGAATTTGCCCTTCAGTTTTATTGGAATTTTTCTGACACAAAACACACTACTCACTTTCTCCCACTTCCATCTCATTTTGGCATCAACTGGTACCAGCCCTCAACTTCCCCTCATATACCTCTATCTATCTATCTATACAGCCCTTAACATCCATCCTTGGATATAGGCCTCCTCCTCCTTCTTCCATGCCTCTCTATCTTGGGCAATTTGCATCCATTTTGACCCGGCGTGTTTCTTCAGGTCATCTGACCATCGCATTTGTGGCCTTCCCCTTTTACGTTTGTGATTCCATGGTCTCCAATGTATAATTGTTTTAGTCCATCTTTCATCTTTCTGCCTTAGGGTGTGTCCGGCGAACTTCCATTTAAGCTTTGCTACTTGGGTTGAGACATCTTTCACTTTTGTTTTATTACGGATCCATTCGTTTCTTTTTTTGTCTGATAGTTTAATGTTCAGCATTTGTCTTTCCGTGGATCTTTCTGTCTTTGCTATTTTTTCCATATTTTCCTTTGTAAACGTCCATGTCTGAGAGCCATATGTGAGGACAGGGAGTATACATTGATTGAAGACTCTCGTTTTTAAGTATTGCGGGTATTTTGAATTCTTTAGAATATAAGACAGTTTTCCGAATGATGCCCAGGCCAATCTTATTCTTCTCTTTATTTCTTCGGTCTGATTTTCTTTATTTAATTTAGTGATTTGGCCTAGATATATATATACTCTTTTACTTGTTCTATTTTTGTTTGTGCCACTGTAATTATAAGTTCTTCTGGTTGATTAGTCATGGTTTTTGTTTTACTATAATTCATCTTGAGTTCAATTTTTGTCGATTCTCTATCTAGTTCTTCCATCATTCTTTGTAATTCTTCACTTTTTTCTGTTATTAATACAATATCATCAGCATATCGTAAATGATTCAGATTTTGCCCGTTTATATTAATTCCCAAGTCATCCCAGTGTAGTCGTTTAAAAACATCTTCTAGCGCTTGGTTAAATAACTTGGGCGAGATGGTATCTCCTTGTCTTACTCCTCGGTTTATTTTAATAGGCTTCGTTTGTTTCATTAGCTTAATAGTTGTTGTTGCCTTGTTATATATATTTGTAATTAAGTCGGTATATCGGTAGTCTATTCTGCTGTTTTGTAGGGAATTCTGTACTGCCCAGTGTTCCCACTATCAAATGCCTTCTCAAAGTCAATAAATGCCATGTATAGCGGGATATGATATTCGTTAGTTTTTTCGATTAAAATCTTCATCGTTAAAAGGTGGTCACTTGTACTGAAGCTCTTTGTAAATCCGGCTTGTTCTCTTGCCTGGTATCCATCTAATTTAGTTGTTAATCTATTTGTTAATATTTTGGTTAATAGTTTGTACATCGCATTTAATAAAGTTATGGGTCTGTAATTCTTTAGATCCTTTTTATCTCCTTTCTTAAATAGTAACAGTGTTATTGCTTCGTTCCAACTGTTGGGTATTTGTTTTGTCATTAAAATTTTATTCATAAGTATGTACAAAACTTCTCTAGTTGTTTTCCCATCATGTTTTAGCATTTCTACAGTCACCCCGTCTTTTCCTGGCGGTTTATTGTTCTTCATCTCTGTGAGTGCTCTTCTTATCTCGTTCTTACTGATCTCTGGTTGTAAGTCGGAATTAACATTTTTTATTTTTATTTGTAGGTGCTTAAGGATTTCTTGGGTTGGTTTCTGTTTTGTATTGTAGAGGTTTTTATAATATTCTTGTGTTATCTGTATAATTTCTTCTACATTATTGGTCTCTGTACCTTCTTTGTTCTTTATACTATTAATTTGTATGGTTCCAAGCTGTGGTTTTAAGAACTTCATGTTTTTATTTTGTTCAATTGCTTTTTCTATTTTTTCTTCCTGTACTCTCTTTTTATAATCCTTGATATTCCTTCTGATAGCTTTGTTTACCTCTTTGTAATCTACTGTGTTTCTCTTATCTTGTTCCAGTAATGTTTTTCTTTTACTCATGAGATTTTTTGTTTCCTGGGATACATAGTTTTCCTTTTTTATTCTTGTTTGTGCTACCTCTTTTCCCGCCTTTGCTAATGTGTCGGTTAATAGCTGGTTTATTTCATCGATATTTTTGTTTTCCAAATCTCTAGTGACCGGTATACTTTCCTTTATTTTTTGTTTATATTCGTCTTTTGATTGCTTAAGTTTTTCCATATCTAGTTTCGATACATTTTCTATTTTCTTTTTTGTTTCGAATTGGCTATTAATCCTGAGTTTGGCTCTGACAAGTCTATGATCGCTACCGGTTGAGAAGCGGTTCAGTACTGTAACATCTTTGATGATGGTTTTTTCTGTTGTAAGGATGTAATCTATTTCGTTTTTTGTATTACCGTTGGGACTTATCCATGTCCATTTTCTTTGTGGTTTTTTGTTAAAAAACGAGTTCATAGCAAAAAGTTGTCTCTCCTCCAAGTAGTTCATTAATGTGTGCCCTCTATTATTTCATATATACCTCTATTCATATTTCTCATATACCTACTCATTCTTAATTTTTTGTTTTTTGACGCTCCACTTATCCATCTACGCATTATTATTTCCGCCACATGCATTCGTTGTTACTGTTTCTTTCTAACTGCCCAACATTCACTTCCGTACATCATAGCTGGTCTTATGGTAGTTTTAACAAATTTGCTCTTAAGTTTTATTGGAATTTTTTATCACAAATCACACTACTCGCTTCCTTCCCCTTCATACTTCCCACTCTATTTCTACTGCACGCATCACCATATATTTCCCCATTACTCGCTGTACTCTGTAATATTCATTCTAGTTACTTAAAACTATTACTTTTCACAATTATTTCCCCATTAAAAATTTATCATTTTACTTGTACTCTTAAATGAACATTCAAAATACCTGCTCTGTTTTTGTCCTACTAAGTATTAAATATTTTCCCTTAAGATATTGTCTCCAGTGTTTCAATTTTTGGTTTAAACCCCTTTCAGTATCTCCTACAAACACTAAATCATCAGAACTAGGGAATGTTAGCACCTGTAATTTCGCTGTTATGTGATCCAATTACAATGATAATTTTTCGACTGTTCTAACAACCATTCAAATTTCGTCATTTTGTGTCATGTGGAACAATTTCACCCAATCATGTCAACATTAAACTGATAATTGCATTCAGTGCAATTTTCAATCCCTATGACAACACGATCGAGTTTGACAACTTCATCAAAATAAATTTCAAAATGTCACGTTTCGGCAATGAGAATGTTCAAAGTATAAAAAATGCGGTAATCAAAGAAAAAATTCCCAGAAATTCAACCTACAGTCACAAATATATTTGGGGAATATTTCGAAAAATTATCCGCCGAATATCCCTCGGACATTGATGAAACCTCATAATTTCATGACAAATTTCTCAAGCTCGTTGCTTGGTAACAGCACGAAGCCGAAGGCTGAGTGCTGTTACCAAGGAACGAGCTTTCGATTGTTATGAAATTATCTCGTCTGTTATCAATGTCCTAGGGATATTACTACTGATAATAAATAAGCTAAATAACACTAGATGTAACTTTCTCAAGATGTCTTTCAAAATCTTCACATATTCACCGGGAACTCTTTTCTGGTTGAATACCATATAAGAGTTTATTTATTTATTCCTGTATTTTTTCATTGTCTACCTTATGATGGAAGCTAACCTAATAGATCAGGGCGGATCTCTTTTGAGGTGGATATGAGAGGTGGCATTCGGATTTTTGTAGAAATAATTGCAGGTAATAACTTCAGTAATAATTAATTGACTTTCCTCCCTCTCAAATAGGACGGGAATATTAATAAAAAAATTAAAATATTTAAAAATTACTGAAAACATCGATCTTTTTCTACTTTGTTTGCTTATAGCTTTAAAACAATTCGAAGACCATAACTCGTCTGGAAAATCCTTATAACACAATACAGCTCACCAAATTTCATTAAAATTGATTTATTAGATTTAGATTCAGGAACAGTGATTCCTGAGATACAACCGGTTACAGTTATAAACAATATGATGATAATTTTTAAATCGTCACCTTTTTATTTGGGAGCACTTTCTTGAAAACAATATTCATATTTTCAAAATAATAATAACAAACATTATAATAATAAAAACGATCAGATTGCACGTGAAAAATACCAAAAAAATTAGGTTGAAGAAAGTTGAATTTCAAATATCAAAAAACCAAACCTAACAATGAACAAGAAAGGACAAAGAATTGCATTTATAAAATACCTTGTGAATGCGATCAGTTTTATTTAAGTGAAACACCAAGCCCATTAAATGTTAGAATAAGTGAACATCAGTCTTAAATTAAAAATAGAGAATTTGATAGATCTCAAATATATCTATATTGCATGCTTTTCGTATGTCGGGTCTTGTCTCCGCCGTGTATGTTAATATAGGTATAATTGCTGCTTTACAGATTATTGTTTTTGTGTCTTGTCTTAGGTGTTTGTTCTTCCAGATTTTGTCATTAAGAGAACCCGCCGCTTTACTCGCTTTTAAGCTTTG